ACTATCGCATCCTCATGGCAAGGGGAGGACCCTAAACCGCGAGAAATGACGCGGCTTGTCGCTGATTACTGGATGGTGCAGTTATGCATGTGTAGAATCTGTGACCACGTGGCACAGTAATTCATTAATTGTTTCGTCGGCTTCGAAATTTGGTGATCTGCTATAGGGACTTTTACGTAAACCGTTTGAAGATTTCCCTTTTAAATGAGAAAATATTGGCAGCATGAGTTTGCACTGAATTAAGTGACGTGTTCTCATACCTGATATGATGAAAGTACTGGTTCAAGTTGAGTGTGACGCCTCGTTTTGGCCAGCCAGAACTTAGGCAACTCGTGGTGGGCTGTTTTTCGCCACAGGCGCTTTTAGCGGCTGAATGCGCCTTGTTCTAGTTGATAGATGACCACATCTTCAGTGCAAGGTCACTTCGCGATCAGTCGCCAACAAGCGACTCAGGTCGACATTGAAAGGAGGGAGGAAAGCGTTAGATGCCGGTGCTGAAGTTCTCTTAAACGGGAGAGACTGAAGGCACCTGTCGGCGGACGACATTTATCATTGTTTGTGCGCAACTTCGAGGAAAGAATAGAGTCTGAAAAAAAGTTGCTCTTCAGCGACTTCTAAAGCAATAAGTTTTTTTGCGATTACTATAAAAACTATACTATAAAAACGTCTTTTAATTCGACAGCAAATAATGGCAATTACGCGTTGCTCGTCTAAACATTTGCGCGTCGGATGACGAACAAACGTTTCATATGTTAATGGTATCAAACTGTGGCTTCGGTCGACAATTCAGCTGCCGACTATTCGTTATAAAAAGTAGTGCATTTATAACATGGAAAGAGAGACGGTTACGAGTTTCAACTTAACGAAGAGACCTTCGAAGATTTTGATTGATGATTCCCAGTTCCCAGCTGATTTCCCATTGGCGGGATCAGCCGCAATTGATATCCCTCGTCCTCAGCTCTTGTCTTGTGAATATTCGAACGCAGTAGATTAGTACCGCTTCAGAATTAAGTATATTAGGTATATTTGACGAGTTTGGAAACCACAGAAAGTTCATG